TGTGTGTGTGTGTGTGTGTGTGTGTGTGTATGTATATGTCTATACATACATGCATGTATATATATATATATATATATATATATATATATATTGATAAAATATATATGGAAATATATTATTGGGATTGTTTGATTTGTTCTTCACGGTTTATCAACTGGGTCATTCAAAGGCATATTTCAGATTGTAGATGTTGCTTACAGTAAACGGCTTTCCATCTGGTGACCAAAGAGAACCGGTGTTTTCAGCATGATTTAACCGTAGGTGTGTTCATTAGGGAGAAATAAAATCCTAAAAGATATACGGAGGTACATCAAGAAATTTGTAACGTAATGAAAGAAAAAGCATTTACTGTACACAATAAGTATCTATTTTTCAACATAATCTCTTTCATTTTCAATGCATTTCCTCCAAAGGTTCTCTCTGTCTCTCTCTCTCTGTCTCTCTCTCTCTCTCTACACACACACACACACACACACATATGTATATAAATGTATATATAAATGTATATATATATATATATATATATATATATATATATATATATATATATATATATATATATATATATATATATATATACATTTATATATATATATATATATATATATGTGTGTGTGTGTGTGTGTGTAATTTTCTTGAGCCTGTGGTAATTGATTTTCTCTCAGTAATATTTGTTATAAAATATTTATAAGAACACTATAAAATAGCATTTATATTTGAAATGTTTCATCTATAAATGCAGTCTGACCACTGTTCACTGACACTGTGGCAGTTTGTGGTCGCTGTAAGTTTACCACCTTATTCTTTTCTCTCTCTCTCTCTCTCTCTCTCTTACTTCTCTTTCACATAGCATACAACTAGTACAATTTGGATGTATCGAAAAAGCAACGTATTCTTTCGCAGTTTAAACAATATTTTTATTTACTATCACTTGCATTAATTTCAATTGAGTTATCTGATTTCCGCTAAATTTAAAGTTTCCTTGAGGTCTTCTCAGGCATCAATTTATATGAGTATATATATTTGCAGTAGCTATCATAGATATATACATGTGAACTTAAAAATGATATTCAGACAAAAAGAAATAATCTAAACGATTTCTATTAACATTTACATTTTTATGTAAAAGGTTTTTTCTTATGTAAGAATCATTACTGATATATTTAAATGCTAAAATAATTAAAATTATTTCAACAAATCTAATATCATATTTTCTTTAGATCATAAATAATATTATTCTATTTCGGACCTTATCATAAAATATTTCCGCTTCTTCATCGTCTTTTAAACCATTAATGTACATTCTTCCATATGAATATCTTCATATCTTTTCGTATGATTCTTTTATCTGAAAGTAAAAGTGAAAGTGGAAAATATTATGAGTTTGTGTTGACTGTTCGATACTTAGGTTCAAAAAAGTTGTCCAACTTTTCTTTTCTTTGCTTGCTTTTTATGTCAGGTTTTTTGCAAATATTACTACTTTGCAAATGATATTATTATTATTTATTATTATTATTATTATTATTATTATTATTATTATTTATTCAGGATAGAATGCAATTCTTACTTTTTTAGGCCCATTCACTATCCACCACACAACAGACATATATATATATATATATATATATATATATATATATATATATATATATATATATATGTGTGTGTGTGTGTATGTATATATATATAGGGGGTTAACGAACTAAATATTAAAAGGATTTACGGCTACACAACTATATATGTGTGTGTGTGTGCCTTATTAATATTATTATCGTCTTCATCAACTTAATTGTAGCTGTGACGATGATAATCATGATCATTTTACTAATATGTGCTTTATGCACTCGTAATAATGCACAAATATAGGCATGTGAATGCATATATGTCTACACGCATATGCATGTATATTTATAGAGAAATCAGTAATCAAAAGCAACATATTTACAAATATTTATAAATCTAAGAACTAATAACGATGCTTAATTTCATTCATTTGATTTCATATTATATTTACTTTCATCATATATATGAATGTCTTGATTCTTGTTTTTATTATTGGGTTATGATTTGGTCGATAAACTTCAAAATTTAGCAGCAGATATAAATATATAAAGAGCACATGCTAGCAACGCATTGCTGATACTGAAATTATCAACAATCTTTTAGGAATTTATACAAATACGATACGTTAAAATTATTTTCACTTTATTATTTATTATTTAAAATACAAAATATTCTAAGGTAAAATCATTCAAGTTTTATGTTCCATGTAGAAATCATAATCCAAATTCTATATTCTTTTTCTGTTAATACTCTTAAAATATTTGATAATTTTGAGCGAATATTTGAATACATAATTCTATTTAATTTACTTTTTCAGTCAGTGTATGCTGATGACATGTTTCCAATTTCTGATCTGTGACTCTTTGGAAATTTTTTCAATTATTAGATATTGATAATTTGTGCAAAATATTAAACGCAAAGGAAGATCAGCAAGAGATGCTGCACCAGCGATCAAGGAAATTTATACATAATTCAAAAACTGTACGATTTAAAATCTTTTATACTGAAATCAGTTTAAAAATAACATCACTATGAATTAAAACATTATTAAATGAAAATACATTGACATAGTTAATAAAAGCTAAAGAGGTTTTATAATGTATAATATCTATCTATCTATCTATCTATCTATCTATCTATCTATCTATCTATCTATCTATCTATCTATCTATGTTCGTTTGTATGTAGATGCGTGTGGATGTGTACATATGTATGAAAGAGAGAGAAAAAAGGAGACAGATAGAGAGAGAAAAAGTACACAATGTTCTGAAATGTAAACTCCTTTCATTTCCAAAGTTTGTCTCTGTGCATATCTGCATATCTTTACATTTTATATTTTCATATTCAATTAAATTTTTATCTCTACAAACCATCTAAGTTGATTATTTACAATACCATTAAGGATATATATATATATATATATATATATATATATATATATATATATATATATATATATATATATATATATATATATATGCATGTGATTGTTTTTCTATTTGTCTTCATTTTATTTCTTTTAGAATTCATAAAAGTTTAGTTGATGTCTTTTTTAGGTTTGAAAAAAATAAGAAATGTTGTTTGATAAATAAACCCCATAATATTTCCATTCGTTCAGTTTCTCCAAGTTTTTACTTGACATTTCAATTACAGTTTACTGTTTTTATTTATTTCTTGCCTCCCTTCATAGGACTTGTTTATGTATGTGTATTTCAGTACAAGATTCTTTGTTCAGTCATTCTCAGAGTGGAGAATTTTCGGATTGACGATTGAAACGAGAAATAAAATAAAGAATAGAAACAGACAGTCTATTCATATACTGATCAAAAGAAAACTTGACAGGTTAAAACGTATACTCACATACAAGTATGCACGCACGTATATGGGTGCATATCGGTGTAAATACATTAAAATTCGTGGGTGTTATGACAGATCCAAATGAATTTTTAAACATACATCTCTGTTTCCAATTTTGTTGTTTACACTTCGGGTAAACTTATCGAGAACAAATGCATGAGAACTTGAGTGTACAAAGCGCACATTGTATTATTCCCAGTGTAAAGTACAGGGTACATATATATATATTACACATGCCCACCTACACACAAGTATGTGTATATACATGTGTGTGTGTGTATTTTGATTATAATTTGATAAATTTGCAGTTGTTGATAGTGATGGTGTGGAAATCATCACTGCATGCTAACCTCGGTTTCTCGCCCTCAAGCGACCTTCAATGTTGATTTCTATGACCCTCTCTCTCTCCATATATATATATATATATATATATATATATATATATATATATATATATATATATATATATATATATATATATATATGTGTGTGTGTGTGTGTGTGTATGTGTGTGTTTTGTGATATAACAATGTCATGTACATTACTTTTCAAAAATTGTTTCATAATGTCTTACTAAGAAATAATTAAATCATTTTATTTACATAGTTTATGCTATTTTTATATTTAAATGAAATTAAGAAAATATTTTTTTTATCTTTCAAAGATCAGCTCTGCTTTTATCAGCGCCTTAAAATATTACCCTGTGAAATTGTCGAATTATGTACCAATCATTTATGAATGACATCCATTGCATATAATGATTCCAGTGCTGAAAAATTTGAATGAATCTGACTTTTAACATCTTCATTCATTTCAAAGTCCTTTGTCAAATATTTGATAACTTTATTGTATTATTAATATTTGGAGAGAGAAAAAAGCAATAAAATCAATGAATCTATCTATCTATCTATCTATCTATCTATCTATCTATCTATCTATCTATCTATCTATCTATCTATCTTAATTATTTACATGATAGATGTGAGTAATTTTTCAAAGAGCAAATGCAATAAAAAATACGCTTCTTGAGTAAAACAAAATTTCCTCAAAAGAAGACAACATTAAACAGATTTTAAAAATCAAATTTACCCCAAATATAAGCAAGTGTGAAAGGAATGTCTATACAAAACCCCAGAATTTAGAGAAACATATTCGGAGTATTTCTTGCTTAACTCAAGAAATAAATATTATATATTTAATATTCTAATTTGGTATTTATTTGGAACAATATTGTTCCTTTAGATTTTTTTAAAAATGCTTCTATATTTATATATCATTCATCTCAAATATTATTGAATGTATTTATTCAAAAGCTGATCGAATGATTTGGTATGGATTTTATCTTTATTAATATTTCAAAAATGAATTAACATAATCTTTGATTATTTGTTAAATAATTATACTAATCTAGACTCCAACGATATCACGTTGTGAAAATGTATGTATAATTGCTGGTCAGTTAATCTGACAATTTGAAAACTAGTGCATGTTTATATATATATATATATATATATATATATATATATATATATATATATATATATATATATATATAACGATTTAATCCCCATATTTGACCAATGTCTATCTATCTATCTATCTATCTATCTATCTATCTATCTATCTATCTATCTATCTATATATATATATATATATGTATGTATGTATGTGTGTGTGTGTGTGTTAAGAATTAAAAATTAAAAATTTGAAAGTTAGAATTAGTGTTCATTCGTTCGTTCAGAAAGAATATAAATATGACAACTGATAATAAGTTCAGTAGATTTTTAAAACATCTAACGCATGTGCATTTCTATGCAAAACTACTGAGTTGGCTAAACAGATAAAAAATTTGAGCTTTTCTGAATATATGGAATATACATATATACATATAAAAAAAAGTATGTAAATATGTACATTTTTGTTTTTATTTTTTATCGAATTTATGTTTCATTATTTTATCAGTTGAGGAGAGACGTAATTAATTATCAGTAAATTTCAATTTACTTTTAAATTTCTCGAAATCTGCCCAATGTTATGACATTGATACTATTTGCTGGCATCATTCGTTCGGAAAAAGAATGATCAAAAATCAAATCAGATGTTTAACGGGAAAGAAATAGAAAAAGAAAATCAATTTCTTGTGAGTAAAGTTTTGAAAAAATAATTTTTTAAAAGAGGAAACGGTTTTGTTGTTATTAGTTCCTCCTCCCTAATACCTCTTTCTTTATTTTGCCACGATCTTCCCACTTTCAGCATAATATGCATGAAAAACAATTCAAACAAGTTCACAAAATTAAGAACAAGGAAATAATGAATACAAAAGGTTGTTCTGAATATCAAACGATTTTAATAGGAAACAAATATTTGGAATACAAATCTAAACAATTTCTATATTGTTACTGCGGGTGAAGCGGAGACTCGAGATTTTGTAAATTCACAAATAAAAACGTTGCCTAGAATTTACAAACCAACAGTTTTCTTCTTTCTTTCTTTCTTTCTTTCTTTCTTTCTTTCTTTCTTTCTTTCTATGACTTTATTTTCTCATGTTTTTCCTTATTTTTTAAAAATTTAATTTTTAAGTGTTTTATTTTCATGTTTGTATTTCCTTTAACGTATATTTTTTCTTTCATATTTTATCAATCTTTTAAATTTTACTTTTGTTCCTAATCTGTTTGACGAATACATTTACCAGGATTTTCAATTAAAGAGGTCATAACCACATATACATACATATGTATGTGGGTATTTGTACGAAATGTATGTATAGGAAAAATTGCACGTGAAGCTTGTTTATGTAAATATTAATATTTAATAATGTTCAAATATGTGCAGGAGCACATAAGCAAAAAATAAATTCCCATACCTGTACACACTTACATATAATTATAATGCTTAAAATCTACGTTTATTTTTGAAAACAACGGGCATAAAGCATTCGTACATATAAATAGTGTGGTCATAGAAATCAACTGGTATTCCCATGCTTTAAGCAATCATCAAACCATCTGCTGGTTGATGAGCATTTAAAGCGTGAAAATGGCACTCAATCAGGCAGTGTTCATTTCTATGTTCACACTGTTTATATGCTCATGCGGTTTATATATATATATATATATATATATATATATATATCCAACCAAATATGTTAGCTCTATCTCTGATATTGAGCGCTTTCTAATAAGTACCGCGCATATAATATATAAATAATTATACATATATATATTTATTTATATTTATATACACTTTTCACACACATATATATATATATATATATATATATATATATATATATAATTGGTAATAGATCCGCTGGTATATATTCCGGTGGATCCTAATAATATTAAGTTCGATGTATTTATTATAACAGAGCTTATGTTTTTTTTACAGCATATATTTTCATATATATATATATATATATATACACATGTGTCTATGTTTGTATACATACACACACACACACACACACACACACACACACACACACATATATATATATATATATATATATATATATATATATATATATATATATATATATACCACACACACACACACATAATATATATGTGTGTGTTTGTGTGTGTGTGTATCCTGCCATAGATATATTCTCATAGTCATACAGACATCATTTTTAAAAATACAGTTTTCAAAATATTTAGAAAATATTTATGAAATCTGGAAATTAATAAATGAACATGCACGTACATCCGCAAACATAGATGCATACATTTTCGGAACACATTAAAATTGTTCACTGGAGCATTCTGTAAGGCGCACACATATATTAACGCAATTCATGTTTTTTCTTTATTCTGACATTATTTCGTATCACTATAAACGCGATATTTAGCCGGTACATGTGTTGCATATACATGCCCGTTTGTTTTTTAGGCAGTGAAATTACCGTCTACCTGTCTCAAGAAAGAAAAGATACCTTCTGCCAGGAATCGAACCTATATTATCCCATTTAATCATTAAAACCATTTTAAAATCACAGCTGCTTCATCCATTAGGCCACAGGAAGAGAACATTGCTAAATCGGCTTCAATTCGCCTCTTCAAAATACATTACTCGTTAGGACCTTTAGAATTCTCTATCTCCAAACTTTTATTTTCATACCTGAAATGTAAACAAAATAATTTTTCTTTTCTTTTTTTTAACAATTAATGGATTATTTTAATCTGAAATTATTACTTATTCCTTATTTGCTAGCTACAAGTGTTTCCGTTGACATCTATTCATTTCTAGACAGGGAAATTAATCTTTAGCTGATTATAAAATTTATTAAGTAGGACTTATCGATCTTAATGCTGGTACATTAATTACACTGTTTAAAAAGCAAAAAAAGTATGTCGAATTAAATATAACGTTTATATTATTATTAATAATAATAATATATATATATATATACTTACATAAACGAATAATAATATATATATATATAATAATATATATATTATA